TATAATTATAAATTGTCTTTATTATTAAAAATATTAAAAATTCAAAATATATTTAATTTATAATCCTATTATTTCAAAATTATAAAAAATATTTAAAAATATCGGAAAAGGACTTCTAGGTGCCTTAAGACAGCTCTTTTCTTTGATATTGATAAATATTAATTTAAATTAAATAATATTTTAAAAATTAATTATTAAATTTTAAAATACCAGAATAGGACATCCAGTTGTATTAAGACTGTCCTTTCTTCGATATTGAAAAATAAATATTAAAATAATTTATTTAAAAAATTAATTATTATTTATTATATATATTTATGAATACATAAAATATTTAAAAATATAAACAAGTAAAATTAAAACAATAAAATACAACTAGAACGAATATTTAAAAGCAGTAAAATAAATGAAAACATTAAAATAAATGACTAAATTATAGTAAAAGTAAATTAAAAACCTAATTCATAATTAATCAAAATTATAGGGATTAAACATGCTATTTCTTTATTTTATTTATTTAGTGACTAAAATAAAATTATCTAAAATTCGGATATTAGAATAAAATAAATTAAAAATATAAACTAGGGATTAAATATGTTATTTATCCTAAATATATTATTTTAATATAAAGGACTAAAATAAATAAAATTAAAATTAAAGATCTGAATTAAAAGGATTATAAACTCGATTTAGTGACTAAAATGTAAAGTTTACAAATCTTGATGACTGCGGACGGGATTTAACAATTTAAATTTGCACATATAGTCCTTCCTGAAACGACGTCGTTTAGGAAGGCCTATATAAGGTCCAAAACGGCTGGCCCGAAGGGCCAGCCTTCATTTCATTTTTTTTCTCTCTCTCAAGCAGAGAGAGAGCCAGAATTCTCTCTGGCCTCTCTCTATATTCCCTCGCCGGAGGGAATCCGACAGCCGTCTGCCGCCGTAAATTCCCCCGCCGACCACCGCCTCCGGTGGTCGGAAATTCCCCAAATTCACCTAAAATATGGATCTAAACACCCTAAGACCGAATCCGGCCTTTGTTTCCCCAAAAAGACTCCTAATCGGAGTAAATCTATGAAAATACCTTCGATATTTTCTGTTCTCCGACGATGTTTAATGCTTCCGGTGATGGTCAAGGCTTCTTTGGTAAGCTTCTTTCCTCTTTTTTTTTTTTGATGTGTTGTTGTTAACTGGGATCGTTGGTAGTTTTTGTATCTCTCTATGTCTCTGTTGTTTTTCTCGTCTCTCCCCGTTCTTCTCTGTTTTTGCTCGCAGATGGGGTGATGGCTTTATAGCCATCACCGGCGTGGCCATCGGACCGGGTAAAAGAATGACCTTCGGTGAGTCACCGGACTCCCAGTGGTGACTCACCCCATAGCCATGGCGTGGACGGCTGGCGTTGGAGCTTCTGGAGCCTTCGGTTGGGACGTGGCAGCGGTGGAGACAGCGAGAGCAGCTGCGGCGGCCGCGTGGCCCTGGGGTATCATACCCTAGGGTTTGCATCTGGAGGTTCTTGGACCGTTGGATCATGCCAGATCCAACGGTGGATGGATGATGGCGGCTATGGTTTAGGGTTACATATTTAGGTTAAATGGTTGGGCCATTGTATTTTGGGTTAACTAGTTGGGCCAGTTACTGTTGGATTTGGGCTTGTAATAATATTTAATAATAATATTAATAATAAATAATAATATTAGTAATTATAATAATAATAATAATAATTATAATAATTATAATAATAATAATATAAATATTTAAATGAAAAAAATGAGTATCTTCAATATCTTTCGAATATTGTGAATGGTAAAAAATGACGGACTCATTATATAACTTTTTGAAGGTTGTCAAAGGAATTTTCTTAATTTTAAAAATGAATTTAATTAAATAACACATTTTTTAATATAATTAAATATATTCGTATGCGATTTTTAAAAAATAAAAATAATATAAATTCCATAAAATAATACGATTGGAAATATTTCGACTCAACGTCCAATCTCACCCGCCATGACAAGTCTACTTTGGTTTTTACTGTTAGTTTTGATTGATGTCTATAATTCTATTTCAATGATGTCTATATATATATTTTTTCTTCAAACAATGGTGTCTATACTTTAAAATATAAAAATTTAAAAGGTTTGTATTTGATGTATTATTATTATTATTATCATATAATAAAATTTATTTTAAATAATAAATTGTAGTGACATGTTATCAACGTTTAATGATTTTAGAAAATTCATAATATAAAAAAACATAGAATCATTTTTCTTACAATTTTTGTTCACCAATCTCCTCTTTGGCAGTTATTAGTTTCTTTGTTGTTTTAGGTGGATTTTGTTTTTGCAGAGGTAAAAGGTCTGCAGTCTGCGGATCACATCTGCAGGCATCTGCAGCAGAAGAGGTGGACCAAAAGTCTACAGTCTGCAAGAAGAAGACTGTTTGTTTTTTAACGTCTGCGGACTGCTAAAATAAACTGAAATATAAATAAACTGATTTTTTAAACTTAAAAAAGGTTTGCAATACTGATATTTAAATAATTTTAGTTTTACAATACTGAAATTTAAATAATTCATAGAACTACAATAATATTTTTTTAGAAAAACAAACATCACCTTATTAATTCTATTATAAGTCTCACATAATCACATGTATTATTAGTTTTATAAGTTTTATAGAATAAAATTTATAAATGATCATTAAATTATATGATTTTTTTTAAATATGCAATTATGTAACACTTTAAATTTTTTTAAATATATATTCATAATTTATTTTTATAATTATATGATATTTTTAGAAAATATTTTTTAATTTATCAAATTATTTTATGATTATTTTTTATTTAATTGTGATTATATTTTAAAATTTTAAAAACATAATTTATAATTTTTATATTTTAAAATCTTAATTATCAAACAATGAAATAATTTTTTATTAAGTAATGTGGTTTAAATACTTACATTTTGTATAAAAAGTTTAAATATAATTTAAAAATAACAAATCCAAAAAAATATTATATTTAAACTTAAATCAAAATAAATATAAAATTTTAATAATATATAAAATAATTTATATAATAAAATTAAATATCTATAATAATATTAAAAAATTAATATTTAATTTATTTAAAAAATTAATATTAAAATTAATATCTATAATATAATATTAAAAAATTAATATTTAATTTATTTAAAATTTTAATATTAAAATTAAAATCAAATATAATATAAAATTAAATATAAAACCTCTTTGAAAAGGTTAGAAGACGTCTGTAGACATAACACCACGTCTGCGTCGCGCATACCACATGCAGATGTGAAAAGAACTTATGTCTTCTAAAAAAAATGGTCTGCGAAGCTCAATGTCTACTCGTGGTCTGCTCAGCGTAGACATAAGAACTTTACAGACCTTACACAGTAAAAACAAACACCACCTTAAAAATTAGTAAAGTTAGTTTTAAATTTTAAATATAAATTACTCTTTAAAAAATAATATAATTATTGCAACATCTAATTAGTGGAGGATTCACGTCAAATTTAAGGTGAACAATTACTCATATTTTGATTTTTCTATATTGTTCATTTATTTTATTAATTATGTATATCTTAAAATATTTTTTAAGCGTACTCACGTATAGAAGTTATGCGTTGTTATTATTATATGTGCCATCCTAAATAATAATTTTAGATCGTCAATGCATTTAATACTTATCGTTTTAACATATATTATTACTATTTTTTATAACAAAAAGTTTAGGTTAAGAATGACTATTCAAGTATAAGGTTAGAGTATACTTAAGATTCAATTAAGATTTACGTAAGAATTTATAAATTCTTCATTAAAAGTAACGGTAGTAAGATTCAAACTTAACTTTACAAACTCAAATTTTTAAATCTCAACTACATGTACATCACTCCATTGACATGAATTATTACTATTCTACTACTATTATTTCTAAATGAAAATATAAATGTATATTTTTTATTAGATATATTCATGAAAAAAAAATCGGAGAGATGAGGATTGATTTTTAAGGAGAGTGTGGGTTTAGGTTTGAACCAGCAGGCAAGTTTACCATTCCTATAAGGACCAAGCCAAACATTATCAATTTCTCCCTTTTGCTAAACACGTCCTCAAGAACTGGCTTGTCCTAATGGCCTCTCTTTGGCATTCCGAGAGAACCACTAAAGGAAATCTCAACTGCCCATCTTCAGAAGACAACCAATGGCTGGAGTTAGGGTTAGGGTTAGGGTTTAGTATTCCACCAAGGAGACAAAAAAACCATCAACCCAATAACCCTAACATTGCCATTCCATTCCCAGTTTCAGCCTCAGCTGCTTCTTCAAATCTCAAATCCAAGCACAACACACCAGCTGGTTGCAGTAACAGCAGCAAAGGGTTGGAACTAGGTTTAAGTTTAGGGTTGGACCACGGAGGACAAGAAGAAGATGATGATTATAATGATATGGGGTGGTGTTGGCCGTGCCATGACATGAATAATCTTCCTTCTGGTAGCTTGAAGAACGACTGGCAAATGTTGGTTCCCAATAATCACCATGATTACTCCAGGATAACCAGACCCCACTCTGGCTTGTGGTTTACCCTTCACTCCTACAACAACCGGTGAGACCTCTTTCTTTTGTGTTTTCAATCTCACCATCATTAATACACACAGCACACTCTCTCTTTCACATGCTACGTTCTCATCACTGTTTCGTTTTATTATCTATCTCAATCAATCCATCCTTAACCTCTTTTTTCTCCTCTTTTATCCATTTTAATACATTTTATTAGATTCTTCAGTACTGCACGACTGATTCCCTATATACATTAATATCCTTGATTTAGCTAAATAAAAAGATATATATATGTATAATGCCATGGACAAAAATAGAAAGAAAATAATCCTTCTACAATTCCATGAATTTAGAACAAGTAGGTAGGGTTTGTAATATTGTTTGCGTTACCTATACCATATTTTGCAGGAACGAGGAAGCACTGCCTCAAATACCAAAGGCGTACATTAGAGTCAAGTAAGTGGGAGGTACACATTAGCATTACATTATGGTTTGATCGTATCACTGTCATGTGTATGTGTGTGTTTTTTTCTTTCTGCATATCTTTCAACTAGCTAATGATGTGTTCAGCAAAATGAGTGAGAAAAAAGCTGACGTTGCTTTTCCTTTTGGGTTTTGTTGTCCTTTTCCATTAAAAAAAACTTTAAAATGGAAATAATTATAAGGGACGAGAACGTGACGATTTTCATGGTTAAAAAGTATCTGGTTACAAAGCTCGGTCTCTCCAACGAAGCTGAGGTAATTATTCAATCCCTCGCTGCTGATTCTTCTTCTCCTTTTTTTTTTTCTGACAACGAAGATTGTTGTTTGGTCGAAGTGACAAAGCTTTTGTTTTTTTTTTCCTTTCTGTGATGCATGACAGGTGGAGATAGTTTGCATGGGACAGAGATTGTTGCAGACACAAACGTTGAAGCAAATAAGGGATTGTGTGTGGTTGCCGAGCTTCCTTGAATCTGAGTCGTTCCACAATTACTCACTTCAAAGTAATTTTGTGAATAATCATTTGATGTCTTTATTCTACGGAAGGAGATGTGCTTTCAACTAATATAATATGCACACTTTTGTGTGTATATAGATATATATCTAGTATGTGCCACCTTCCTCAAATTTATATGTTGATTTAGTTCCATTTCCACTTTTTTAATTAATATATTTTTGTGGTGCATCGAAAGGGGTGGGTGAGGAAATTCCTCATTATTAAAATTTTTAAATTATCATATATTTTTTATATTTTTATTAATAATATGTTTTCACTCTTTTTAAATTTTGAAAAGTTTATTTTTCTTAAAATTTTAGAAATTCATTCTTTAACATAAGATTTTACGACCGTACTTGTGTTTAAAATTTTTATGGTTATTTTACTGAAGATAATGTGAATTACATGATAATTCGTAGGATAAAGTGCAAAGTGTTATACGTGGAAGTGTTTAAATTATAATTGTATATAGAAATTAAATTATGCATTAGTTGTAATTATAATTTAAAAATCCTATAAGAAAACTATAGTATACTATATAAATATAATTTTGGAGTCCCAAGGAAAATCGTTGAGTTCCATATAGTGTTTTTGCTGCAATTGGAGTTTGACATAAATAACAAAGAACATAATAGGGTTTTATTTCTTCTTAAATTAATCCTACTGTTAAATAGTATTGACAACGATGGTGAAATTGAAAACAAAGCTGGTGCAGTGCAGCTGAGAGAAATTATCAGAATTGAAAATTGAGAAGAATGTAATGGCATTCAAGGTTATGGAGTACAATTGTCTCCCTTAAAATTATCATATATTTTAAATTTTTATACATTTTCTATTAAAAATTTGTTTTGCTAATTCGTCCATTCTTAAAATTTTAGAAATTTATTCTCTAACATAAAGTCATGAGTATGTAATTACCCATAGGTTAAAGAGATGAGAGAATCTGCAAATAAATTCTAGTATGTTTTGTGGGTGTTGGTGAATTAGGTTTAGCTTAGTTAGGTCGAGGTTTAATTAATTAGTTTATCATCCGGTTTTTGTAATGGGCTATATAAATCATACATGTTAGACTACTAGATGAGTTGAAGTAATCGTTGTTCAAATTTTATTGAATAAAAGTCCATTTTCATATTTGTTCCCTGAATTCTTCAATTCCCTCTCATGTTCTTTCCTAATCGTATTGTGTAGTTAAGTTCCGATGATTCACTTAGTTCGACATGACATCAATCGTTGATGATTCTAAAATTATTATTGTCGCCGTCGTTACATCTTCATTGAGGGTCTTAACGCAATTAGATTGCATGTCTCGTCCTAAGCCTCTTTGGTGCATTGTTGGGATTGTATGTACTTAATCTTACACTCATCCAGGCTGGACTAAAGTTGTATATGTTCATCTGACGCTCCTCTGGTTGTAAGTAGATTCACGTTCATTGTACCATTATATCTATGTGGTTTTTGGTTCGACAGATTAGTTAATATTTCATCATTTATTTCTAATAATAATACTTTTATATTAAACTTCATAAGTTGATAATTTAATATATTTGTTCGGAACATAATTATACTTTACACATAACACGCTTAGAATATTATAGTCTAAAACAGCCTTAGAAAAGATAATAATTAATCAGGATTCAATCTTAGTGTTAACGGGTGGAATGATGAAAAACAAAACAAATCAAAAGATTTCTTTAAAATAAAGAAAGCAATGGCAAAACGCTAAAAACTAAAAAGCAGCAGCTGTTTGTAATGTTGACCACCCTCTTCTTTTGCCTTTATATCTCTTAATGCCTAAAAAGCCCCCTCAATCTGAATATATCATAGCTTTTACTATATAAAAATTTTGGCTAAATATCAAGTATTATTTAAATATCAAAATTCATAACATAAACGTTATAGGAACAAAAATTTGCAATTTACTGGGAAAACAATATTTCTTTCTAGGCAGTGTTAGGTATAGAGTATACACAAAGCAGCTAACTATATCAATAAACTTCTTTCTGTTTCTAGAGGCAAAGCAAAACAGCAATTAAATAGTGTTTGGTCCATAGTTCATTTTGTGGCCTAAACAGATGTAGTCATGGTCTTCAAGCGATAGAGGAGCTTCTTTTTCTTCGACGTGGGACTATCAATGGTGAGAACAACCTTGCCAAGCTCACCAGCCTTGAAATTGTTGCACACTACCTGCTGCTCGTCCGAACAATCCACCTTCTTGGTCTTCTGGATTATGATGGTGTAGCTGTCTTCACCGCTGGGCACGAATTCTGCACCGTAGTTCACATCCCATGTCATAAAACATGCCTGCAAATCCATCTCAAAACAAAATAACTGGGGTCATGTTTGTGGTACAGAAAACCACACAATAAAAGTGAAAGCCACTTGCCTCATTAACTGGGAACTCGACTGTGTGCTTCGCCGCTGGCTTAATAGTTTCCTCGATGACGGAATCGGTATGAGTGAATTCACCGTCTTTGCTCAGTCCTCCATATTTGGCCTGAACTTGCTCTGCGGCGATATACCTGAAAAGTGTTTCTGCAGTTTTGGAAGGGCCTGCAAAGACAAACTTGCTTCTGGTTCTTTGTGTCAATAATGGACTTATCATCTTATTGACTGCAAGGTACCACCATGGCACATTGATGAACACCTAAACAAGGAGAAAGCATTAATGTTTATTATTGGCAAAAAGAAGAATATCAAAAGAATACCTGTCTGGCAACGAATTCTGGGTAGTTGTCCTGCAGCAATTGAAGGGCTTGTTTGTAGCTTGTCTAAGCTCCCACTTAGAAAGTCCAGGTGAATTCTTGAGGTCATGATTTGAACAATAGTGCATATGCCACCGGGTTGAAATCTAGCTTCCTGATACTTTTCCAGGAATTGGATTCTCCATCTCAAAAATGTTGCCTCTTGTCTTCATCAGAGAATGTTTTCTGGTAAAGCTCCTTGTTTTGGAACTCCCCGTACACATTATAGCACACTGGGTGTCCTTGTTTGTCAAAACCATGCATGAACACCACTTTCTGTAAGTCATCACCCAAATCTTGTTCCACCAGTTCATCGATGCCGAACTGTTTTCGCCAACGAATGGTGTTTTGGAGCATGTTGAATGCCTCCTTCACCTTGAAATCTCTGGTTCTTAGAAATTTGAGGAGGATAACATCGCTTCTTTCGTCTGATAGCAGTGGTATCCCCCATATAGATATCTCCACTTTGTTAGCATCGGCCTTTGCTTCTGAAGGTTCTTTAGCTGCTTCCGGTGATTGCTCTGGTTGAACTGAAGAAACAATAGTGTCCTCAATGGCTTCAACAGTCTTGGCACCATCGTCTTCAGCGGTAGCAGTCTAGCAGCAGCAACCTGATTAATGCTTTCTTCCTTTGTCTCGGCTTCTTCTAGCTTTGGTTCTTCTTTGGCAGACTCATCCTTTGGCTCTTGTTGTTGCTGTGGTATTACAGACCCAAAAAACTCATGCTTGCCGAGCGCTTCCCGAACAAGCACTTTAAGTTCTTCGACAGCTTTCTTTTCATAGTCGACAAGATCAGCAACCCTAGTGCATTCTTCCTTGTAAGAACCCGACTGAAGAACTTTCTAATCATCAACATCACCATTGGTTACTGCATCCGATTTCACAGTCTCTAAAGCTTCCTCACCCTAAATCTGCTTCGGTTTCACCGGTTCTTCATCGCTTTCGAGTACCGGAGGTGGCACTTTCGCTGCGACTGCCGTAACCACCGGAGTTCTCTCAGGTTGTGGCACGTCGGGAACATCCACAACCGGCACCTCGTCTGCTTGAGCTGTATTCAGAACTTCGTCAGCCATATTAAACTTGGTTAGCTATCATATAAAATCAAAACGAAAACAGAAAATAGAAACAGGAGGGAGAGAAGACAGAGAGTGAATGTGTTGTTTGAGGAGGAAGACGGGAAAGCAGTTTTTAAAGACATGGGAAAGAGAAGGACATGCTCGTTTTAAGGGATCCCACTACCTTCCATTTTACAATCTGTCAAGCTTTTTCTTCTCTTTCCTTACATAGAAATAAATCATCGGCGCAGGGTGGCATTTTCATTTGAGATTCCAATAGAGAGTTGGATGATCGATGTCAGGGTAAACTACGTATCTAGTCATTGACATATTTCTGTGGTTTTGTTTTTTATTCCAATCATTTAGTCACCCAATTATCATTTTAGTTCTGTTTTGGTCATTCAATAATTTTTTTCTTTCAAGATCATGTCTAACATTAAGTTTTGATTTCGTTTTAATAATGTGTAGTTGAAAAACTAACAAAATTATTGACGTGATAATTTTTTCAATGATGATATGACATTATCTTATGATAACACGTCAATATCATCATCAATTTTTTAATGACGGATGATAATATGATTTTGAAAAAAATAGTCGGATAACCAAAATGAAACAAAATTGATAGCTGAGTGACAAAATTTGTAGTTTACCCTATTTTTTCAAAATCATATTTAACTTTACATTTTTGTTTCGTTTTGACCACCCATCGTTAAAAGTAAACAAAACTACTGACGTGATTTTTTTAAAAAATTTTCACTGATGATGTAACATTAACTTATGATGAAATGTTTGCATCATTGTTAATTTTTAATGATGGTGACTAAAATGAAATAAAAACATAACATAATGTATGATTTAAAAAATAATCGTGTGATCAAAATGAAATCGTGAGAATAGGTGAGTGACTAAAAATATAGTTTACCCTTGATGTTAATGGGCCTACAGACAACTCTCGACGGCAAATGGACACTCAAAGATCCTCTTCAATCTTCAATTCTTCATATATCTCTGTTAAACATACGCGGGACCTACCCACCAACAGGTCACAATCTCTTCCGTCCGTTACACAACTCCATCTTGATTCTCAACTTCACGCCTGGTCAAGTTTTTTTCTTTCTTTCTTACAAAAGTGGATGTGGAGCAATTTCAGAGATTCGTTGTCGAGACACACCACTCATATCATCGTGTAACACTTCATATGAGGGGGGAAAAGAACACATGCATATCCATTCATATTTGCACGCCACCATGAAATCAACTAAATGATTCAATGA